AGGCTGGCAGGTGCCCACCCAGGGGCCTGGACCAGTACTCCTGACCCCATCCACGGGGTTCACTTTTCCCCAACGAAGCAGCAGCTATGACGTGATGCAGGGGCACCAGTCGGCCTGACAAACGCTCAGACACCAGCGATCACCCAGCCCCAAGGCTCAGGTTTGGGGGCAAGGGGCTCTGGTCACAAGGAATGAGGCTGGGAAGCCCCCACTGCCCTCCCCAAACATGGACGTGCAAGCAGAAAATGCTCCACACTAATACATATCTCAAATGCAGTTTCAACAAAATGAAATGAAGAGCTCAAGGGATTTTTTTCTGGAACATGAAGTAATTCTCAAATTCATTCAGAATTATGAACAGGTAAGAATATCCTTAAGTAAGAATAAAAAAAGTAATGTCTTGCTGTACACCAGATATTAAAGCATGTTTTAAAGCTGATAAATAAAACCAAAGTGGGAAAAGCTGAATAGATCCTATTATGTGTAAGAATTTCATCAGGACGAGTCACACTGCATGGCTGCCTGATGAATGACATGAGAATGTCTGCCTTGTGACCTGGGAAAAGACCATCACCTCACACGCACACCTAAAGGCGTCTCCAGTAGATGAAATCTTCAAATACAAAAATGTTTAAAAAAGAGAGAACCGAAACAGTGATTTCTCAAACCACTGGGATGCTTTCTGAACCAGAGGGTCGTGGGATTATTCAGACAAGGCTAGAAGAAAGCAGGAACTTCTGGGGAGGGGGACGAGGACTAAAAGACAAACTCTCCCACAGAGCAGAATTTGTAAAGATCATAGAGGCCGTGACTATGGAAACAATATACTGCTCAGAATTAACAAAAGAAAAACAATCACTCTTCACGACGAGGCTACACCTTCCTTTAAATCAAAGAGCTCCAACCGATGCGGCAAGAGTGGCCAATGCGGCGAGAGTGGCCGATGCGGCGAGAGTGGCCGATGCGGCGAGAGTGGCTGGAGAACCCCCTGCACGTCCCCTCCGTCCCACGCCCCTGGCCCCAGGCCCCAGCAGACACCAATCTGTCCTCACGGTTTAGCACTTCCCGTGTGTCTTCCGGATAAATGGAGCAGCATGCTGCTGTCCGGCCGTCCCCGGCCACGCGGCACCTCCAGCCCTCGCCCATGCTGCTGCGTGTGCCCAGCGTCCCCCGCGCTGGCTGCTCGACGTGCCACGGCTGGTTCACCTTCTCACCCCTTAGAGGACACTAGGGCTGCTATAGCCTTTGGGGACTGTGAATGACGGTTCTAGGAGAGATAGAACAAAAGTGACCCCATCTATCCCAGAGGCAGCTGTGACTGTGGCCCCCATTGTGGGCCTTGAAAAGTGGGAGACTCAGAATCCACAGTAGCCCCGAACTGCCATGAGCTCCCCGCATGTGAGACAGGTACCCCACTAACCATACTGGTGACCTTGAGCAGAACCAGCAGTGTGTGGCATAAAATCTCACCGCGGACATGGCAAGCCTCTCCATACAGTTAATGTCTTCTGTGACCTCCCGAGGGAAGCCAGGTGGCACAGTGTGCTATGTGTTGGGCTGCTAACCAAAAGGCTTTTCGTTCAATTCCACCAGCTGCTCTGTGGGAGAACAGTGGGGCAGCCTCCTTCCACACAGACTTGGAAACTCGATGGGCAGCGGCGAGCTGTGGCCTTGACGTGGTGCGGGTGGCTGGAGGCTCCAGATGTGCCCTTTGTCCTCAGTGTCCTCAGGTTGACTGAGGCTGGTCCCTGTCCACTCACTGAGTCAGGTCCACAATCTGAGTCAGGTTCACGATGCAGAGCCTCCCCCCTTTACCATGTCTGTCCCTGCCTTCTGGAGCTCCCACTGCGGGACCTCGGAGCCCTGAGTGTGCTTTCTAGGCTTCTCTCCTGTTACCCACATCTCTGCCTTCTGTTTTATTCTTAGAGTTTCAGGACAAATGTGGGCAGACTCCTTCCATAAAGACGAACAACCTTGGAAGGTCCCCACGTCAGAATGACCTAACAGTGGTGGGTGAGCAAGGTCTCCCAACTGTACACTGTCGTTGGGTACCACCAAGTCAAACTCACCCACAGCTGACCCTGTGGTCAGCAGGGGCCAGGGCTGCCTGTGCTGTGTGATACGCTGTCCAGCAGCAGGGTGGGCGGGCCTGTGCCCTGATACGCTCTGTCCAGCGGCAGGGTGGGCGGGCCTGTGCCCTGGTACACTGTGTCCAGCGGCAGGGTGGACAAACCTGAGTCAAGGTCAGAAGCGCCACAGACTTGCACCATGTGCAGCAGGAGGGCTTGGCTCCTGAGACTTATTGATGCCAGGACATTCCTGGCACAGCTGTGGTCAGTCCAATGCTTGATCTGTTTCTCGCAGACCTCCTAGTTAGAGGTCCAACACTTGACACACTGCACCACCAAAGCCACACCTGGTGCAGGCCCACAGGGCTCCACCCGGTGACATGCAGCACAAAGCCGGTCAACGTGAGTACCTGACACTGACCCGTCAAGCTCCCTGATGAAGCAGGTCTGACCTGTGCTTCCTCTACTTTTTTGGAATCCAGGCTGAGCCCCTGTGGGGACTATGGGGACTGGCCTGGAAGTGTGACCCCAGGGAAGGCAGGCCCAGCGTTCCCGGGCCACGGCCAGCCATTCCCTGGGGTAAGCATTTCTTCTAGGTTTTCTTGGCTGACCCTGTTCCTGCACTGCCACGTGGACTGTGTGCCCAGATTCAGGGCTCGGAGGGCCGTGCCTACTGCTTGGCTCCAAGCTTCCCTGAGGCCCTATGGGGACAAAGGAGCGGCATTCTGGGTGGCAGAGACAGCCCAGCAAGGGCCTGGGGCTGTGACAACTGGCACGACCCCCAGGAGCACTCAGAGCTCGAGGTCCCCGGCCTGAGGAGGTGCTCCAGTGGGGAGCGGAATGCATGGCTGCCTGTATCTAGTCCCCAGTGCTGCCAGGGGCACTGACGAGTGGGATGAACTTCGCCACTGAGCCTGGACTTGGGCCAAGTGACTGGCCACCCATCTGCCTGGCCCTGATAGGCCGCTGTGGCCCACCTGGGATGAATGGTCTGAGGCCTGTGGGCACTACTGCTGGACACAAGTGCTCTCTCTGCCAGGGCTCTGCAGAGAAGGGGAGGGGTAATTCAGAACTGAGGGGCAGACGGCTGGCCAAGGCCTCTGAGGCTGGAGACCAGCGTCCAGCACAGGGGAGGGGAGTTCCAGCAAAGCTGGAAATATGGCCTGCTCCCCTCCAAAGACAAGATGGACCAGGGGATGCAGACAACTCCAGCCTGGCCTGGTGCGGCCACAATTCCTACAGCGCCTGCATGCTCCAATCTAACAAGATGGCAGGACCATTAGGGTGTCGGTTAAAACCCCCAAACTGAACTGTGAGCGCACAAAGCAGGAAGAGTATGTGGGTGCACATATACGTGCATGCACTCGTGTCTGTGCACACATGTGGACACACACTTATGCAGACACACGTACACATATTCTCACATATACACACAAATGCATCCACACGTATAAACACACATGCCTGTACATACACACCCATGCACATATACACCACGTATACACACATGTGCACACCGTTCTTCCTGTAAGCTGTGTGAGAAATCGGGGGGAGAGGGAGCCCTCAGGATCACCATGTCCCCTCCAAGGAAAAGTCAGGAGGATTGGATCCTGGACCCTGTGGCCGGGAGCCCTCGGGATGACATCATCGGCTCCAGGGATGACGTCAGTAAGCTACAGGGCTGCTGCTGTGGGCTGGGCAGTGCCAGGGGGTGAGGGGCTGAGGCCACCACACTCACAAGTGGCTGGGAGCACAGCTGACAGCGGTGACACCATCACCGAGCCTGACCCACTGGACGGGCAGGTTCTGCTTGACGGCAACCATGTAGGACAGAGCAGAACTGCCCGGCGGGTTTCCACCCTTCTATCTCTCCAGATGAGCATGGCCTTACCCTTCTGCAGAAAGTCTGGTGGGTTTAAACTGCCTGCCTCACTCACACACTGAACAGCTCCGGGCGCCTGGGATGTGCTCGGTCTCCCGCACTAGCCTCAGCCTAGTCCATTGTGAGGGCTGCAACAGGGTGAGAGGAGGTCTGGGTGATGCCAGTACAGAGCTGGGAGCTCAAAACATAGACCTGGGGTCCCTGAGCCCTGGTCTGCCACGGACACTGAAGATAATGTCACCTGTGTGCGCGTGTCACCTGCCTTAGGGCCTGAACAGGGGCCATCTGTGTGAGAACTACCAGGCACAAAGGGGAATCAAGACCTCCCCCAGGACAAGAAGGCAGGGCCGATGCAACGGAGGGGCAGGCCAAGAAGGCCAGGGACCCCAGGGCATGGTCCCGGCCTCCCTCCACATGTGGCGACGTGGATGTGAAGGACGTGGGAAACTGCTTGAGAACATACAGCCCCGGGAACACAAGATGCGAGTGTCGAGAAAGCATGGCCCTGCAAGGTCACCACCAAAGAGAACTGCTGGGGACGCTACCTGGGCAGCATGGGGGACTGCGACGCTGTGCAGTGTGAGCTGACCCAGCCATCACAACGGATCTACCCGCAAAGCCCCCCTCTGACCCGCAGACGTGGGAGCATGGACGTGGGAGCAGGGCTACTGTGTGGAGAGGGAGAGCGCGCTGGTTCGGCTGCAGAAGCTCGGGCAGGGAGAGATGGCATCTTCTTGTAGGGCGCAGGGGTTTGTTCAGGATTACTGGGCCACACGTGGCAGATAAATGGGATTCATTTGCTCAGGGCCTGAGTGAGTCCCAGCTGCTGCCTTTCTGGCTGCGGCCAAGCTCTTCCCTACTGAGGGGACCTGTCCACACACCCTCAGCAAAGACTGCCAGACACTGTCACGGGCCCCTCGAGGCCTTGGGGCCCTGGCTAGGAGCAGGGTCTCACCCATTTCCCAGGGGCCACTGTGGACGGGTGCCAGGACCTGGGAGTCAGGTGTCACTGGAGAGACAAACGCACAGCAGTCACCGCCAGCACGTACCTGCCACCTCCCTGGCGGATGGCAGGCCCGAGGCAGCCTCGAGGTCGGGCACAGCGCCGCCCAGCTCCAGGGCGCGCACCAGCTCCCGCAGCCGTTCACACTCCTGCTGCAGCTGCACCTGGTCCTCACGGAGCCGCTGCCGCGCCATGCCGGCCGGGTTCATGCGCAGGTGCAGCACCTTGGTCCGGCTCTGGTCGTAGTCGCCCTGCAAGGAGAGGAGTGTGTCACTGGGGCCGAGGGATCGAGCCCAGCGGGCGGGCCGAGAGACCAGCACCACACAGGACGGCCTGGCTGTGCATGGGGTGGGACGCAGTGGTGAGCCACACGTAAAGGCCTGTCGCGCTGTGGCCACGTGCAAGTTCTGTGAGTGATGCCCACAGTGGACACACGCACATCCTGTGCGTGCTGGATGACGCCCACGTTGGCCATGTACACATCCTGGATGGGTTGGGTGACGCCTACGGCAGTCACGCACATGTCCTGGACGTGCTGGGTGATGCCCACAGCGGTCATGCACATGTCCTAGAAGCAACAGGCATTTACCTGCAGAGCCACTGGGCAGTGAGAACCACCAACCTTCTGGTCAGCAGCAGAGCACTGACTGCTGTGCCTCGAGGGCCCGGCAGGGTCCCAGCGTTCACGCATGCAGAACAAGGCCTTCCTGCTGGAGGGCACTTCTGCACCCCCATCCCCATCACAGGAATACGCTGCCGTGTGCCTTAGAAGGGGCCTCTGTGTACAGTTTTCTGCACTGGAAACTGATGCCCTGACCCCCACCTCGAGCCCCAGGCTGCGTCACAGGAGGGACCTCTGAGGACAAGCGGGCGAAGGCGGCTCGCTGCCAGTCAAGAGAACGGTATTTACAGAAACAGGAATCTGCACCTCAGCCCTCCCTCCCACCTGCCAGAGACGTGCTGCCTTTGATGGGTCTAAGCACGCAAAAATGCAAATTAAAAAAATGCAAAAAGCCTGAAAGATGTGCATCTTGATGAACGTAATCAACGTCACGGAATTGAGCGTAAAAAGCGCTGAGTTGGCAAATGTGAAGTTCTCTGTATCTCACACACACACTCTCTCTCTCTCTCTCAGAACTCCTAGGCTGTACAGCCAGCGCTCTGGTGGCCTAGTGGAAAGGAGCTGTGCTCTGAACCCAAAGATACATGGTCTGACTCCACGAGCAGCTCCGTGGAAGAGGGCCGGGTACTCTGCTCCCATGAGGTCACACTGTCCCCCCAAACACACATGAGGTCAGCTAGGAGTCGTCTGACAGCAACACACAACAGGCTGTATGGAAAGGCTCTGTGGGGTGATGAGGTATCAACTGGGCTGCAAATCAAGAGTCTGGCAGTTCGAATCCACCAGCTGGTCCTCAGGAGAAAGATGGGCGATCTTCCCAAATGGATGGCTTTGCAGCACAGAAATTCCTCCTCAGGCTCTCGTTGGCAGTGTACTTGGTTTGGGGTGCACAGAGCTGGCCGGGGGGCTGTGGTCCATGATCCAGGGTGAGGAGTGGGTACACTAGTGCTGCAACCCTTCCTTCCCTGAGCCAGAGAGTGCTGGGACCCCCTTCTCTCAGACGAGGCTGTGGCCCCCTCTTGGAGCTGGCTGTGCTCAGGCCCGCGGCCTCACCCCTCCACCACCCCGACCCTGGCCCAGCACAGGGGGAGGGGGTCATGTTCCTTCCGTCTCACTGGAGTTTCAGGTGCAGGGTCCTTAGTCCATGGAACAAGGACGTATCAGAGATGAAAGGGGACACAGCACACACAGAGCTGCAGAGTCCCAAATGTCAGGAGAGGCGACAGCCGTGGCTCCTGCAGGAGGACACGTGGACAAGGCTTGGTGGCCTGGGCCATAAGATGTAGGACGGTGGACAGTGCAGACCTGGCCACAGCCCTCCAGCCACCCTTCCTCCAGAGGGCAAGGCTCCAGTAGCTCTCTCCGCAGGAATGGCTACTGGCCACTGGGCTTCCAGGTCACGTTTCCATCAGGACAGGAGACAGTGGGCTGGGGACACAGGCCTGGGTGGGGCCAAGTTGGTAAGTCCATGTTGGATCAAGCCTGTGGCCTCATCCTCGCTGGTACACGCCCTTTGGTCAGGCACGGGCTTCCGGGAGCCCAGGCTCCACGAAGGACTGACTACAGGCAGGGGTGTGGAGGCAGATCATGCCAGGGACTGTGGTCTGAAGGGGTCTCCGTGACCCCTGTGGTCACCTCTCTTTCAGGAAGTCTGAGGACAAGAGCAGGAGCCCACTAGATAGTACGCTGGGAACTGGCGAGCCCTGCATGACGTCGACTTGCAGGTAGACGGACTTTCTCTACCTGATGACCGAGGGCAGGGACACCACCTGGCTCTCTGCTCCAGCTCCCTCACGACCTCACCACGGCTCCAGGCCAAGGGCTTGGTGTTCCTGGGTTCATTCATCCCCTCCTTCCAAGCACCTGTTCTCCCAGACCACCCAAGAATCCACCCACCGTCACCCCATCCACCCGTCCAAAGCCCAGCTATCCGTCCACCCACTCACTCACGCATTAACTCACCTTTCTACCACCTGAAGATCCACCTCATCTGCTCACCCGTGAAACCAGGCGTCAGACACCACACATCCTTAGTCCACTTATCCATCCAATAACCTATGTATCCCCAGCTACCAACCTCCCATCCACCCACCCACCCATTAACTCATCTATCCTCCCACCACCAGCCACAACCCTCTGTGTGCTAACACACCCTCATAAACACCCCACCTTCCCACCGACCCACAGCCCCCTGTGTGCAAACACCCCACCCACCCACCCCCACATGCCTCCATGCACTAACAACCCCCAGCCCTCTGTGAGCTAGCACCCCCACCCCTGACCCTGACACCCTTTCGTGCACTAACCCCCCCACCCCCCATGTGATCTAACACACCCACCCCACACCCCTCTGTGTGCTAACCCCCCCCAACCACCAACCCCTCGGGACCCATTCGCCTTCTCACCCAAGGACCACTGTGGCTTCTTTATGTACTCACACTCCATCCACTCATCTATGCATTCAAGCCCTTCTCTTTGTCAACGTGCCTCAGTGGGCTTCAGAGGTGTCCAAATGTGATCCCCCTCAGCCCCAGAGCAGCTGGTGGCGCCTGACAGCCAGTCTAGGGGGGAACCCAGGCCTCAATCCTCATACCTGTCAACACTGTCACCTCTGCTACAGAAAAGCTGACAGTGCTCAAGGAGCTGGTGCTCTGTCACTGTCACCAGGGAGAAGCAAAAGTGCCCTCTTTCCCTTCAGGACAGTCCCAAGGTAACTCAGACACTGTTGATTTGCTGTTGTTAAGTGCCATCGAGTCACTTGCAACTCATAGTGACCCTGTGTACAGCAGCTCTGAACCCTGCTCTATCCTGTGCCAATCTCACTGTTTCCGACACACCTACTCCCATTACCCCAGTCACTGAGTCAATCCATTTCATCGAGGGTCTTCCTCTCCTGCGCTGTCCCTCCACCCTCAAGCATGATGTCCCTTTCCAAGGACTGGTCCCTCCTTGCAACATGTCCAAAGTATGTCAGATGGAGCTTCACAATCCTTGCCTCCCAAGAGCAGCCTGGTTTCGTCCTCTCCAGGACAGACCTCTTTGTTCTCCTGACAGTTCATGGTATACTCAATACTCTTTCACCAGCACCACAGCTCAAAGGCATCAACTCTCCTATCACCTCTAGTCATTGTCCAGCTTTCTGATGCATAGCATGTAATTGCTGGTGGGACTGTAAAATGGTACAACTACTCTGGAAGACAGTTTGGCGTTTCCTCAAAAGCTGAACACTGAAATTCCATATTACCCTGAGAAAATGACAATCGGGGATGTGTACCCCAATGTTCATAGTGGCATTGTTCACTATCGCAAGAACATGGGAACAACCAGAATGTTCAACCACAATCGAATGCACTGAGAATCTGGGGTGCGTTCACATGCAGCACGCAGGAGTAATGATTTTCTAAAGTACTACCTAACACGAGAGGAACTGGAGAGCGTTATGCTGAATGAACCAACTCTGATCCACAAGGACAAATACTGAACGAAAACCTTAGTGTAGAAATTGATAACTAGTAAAACGGATGTGAGGATCCAAGAGGGGGAGGGTAGGAGGAGGGGGGAGAGGATGGGCAGGGGGCAATCACAGGGTCGCACAATTTGATGGGTAGTGGGAAGGGCGGGTACAGGAAATGCGAAAGATTCAGTGTGAAAACAACATATGCAAACTTTGTAAGTAAACCAGTATAAAATAAAAACTTATGAAAAAAAAAGGCAGTCCTAAGATGTTGGCCAGAGGGGACACGGCCTGCCTCCCCTGCTGCCTCCCTGCAAGTGACAGAGCAGGTGCCGCTGAGCCCAGCTTCCCCTCCCAGTCCCACACTGGTACCACAGTGGCCCCCAGCAAGAAGCTGCCAGCAGAGCTGGGACCACAAGTACATTCAGAGGACTCTGGGGACATCTGAGGGAGACGAAAGCTCGAGGAAGACATGGGACAGCTGTAAACCGCTGCAGGAAACGTGTTGTGTTGTTTGATTCCCGGCTGAGAAAGCTGTGCAGATCCTGACGGAATCTCAGAAGGGAGACTTCTGAGCCGTCCTTTGAAGTGCACAGCGATCACTGACTGTACACTAGACTTGTCTGCCAAGCAGCCCAGCTCAGAGGCGGCCCGGGAGCCCGACGACGGCGCTGTCAGCTCAGAGGGGATGGTGGCCCAGGTGCCCGACGGCGCTGTCAGCTCAGAGGCGGCCCGGGAGCCCGACGGCGCTGTCAAGCTCAGAGGTGGCAGCTGGGATACCTGATGGTGCTACCAGCATGGAGGTGGCCAACTGCAGCCCAAAGGAGATGTGCTGGGCAGCTGTGGCCCTCCAAGGGACTAGGGCTGGGGAGCTGACAGGCTCTAGATGAGGGCAGGAGGTCAGAACAAACACTGAGTGGGGTCACGAAGATGGTGTGCAAAGCAAGAAGAAGTGGGGTCCAGGGCTCCCTGGTGGGCTGAGGAGGAGGAGGATTCAAAGAGAGGTGGGGTCCAGGGCTCCCTAGCAGGTGCTAAGGAGGAGGGGAGGGGGATTCTAATAGGATTGGCATGGGTGTTCAAGAAGCATCACCCCACAAGCTGTTATGAGAAGTGCAGATGCTGAGGCTGGGAGAGCATGTGACCCCCCGAGAGCACAGAGCAGACACGCTGAGGGC